AATGGAGCAGTAACCTGAAAAGGAAGATGGGGAGGAAAAGGAAAAGTGGTTACAAACCAGGAAAGGATAAGCACCTTATGACTCAGTCTAAAAAATTAAACAAGGACCCGATTGAGATACAGCTGCAAAGATGAGACCATGTCACCAATGGGGCAAGTTTATGCTCCAGGGTAGGTGAGGGAGAAGAGGGCAGGTGTATGACCAACTATATATCACTCTGTCATGCACCTAACTATATTGAAGAAAGGTTTGAACTCCTAAATTGATTAAAATTACTTGGGGCAAAATAATAAATTCACCCAAATATAATGAGCTAGTTCCTTGAACTCTTTGGCATTTGTCAGCATGCCTCTTTCTGCCGGTGAGAAATTGATAATAATAACTATTCATCACTTCTGGTATTTATAGAGATTTTTATCTGTAAGAGATGAATACAAGGAAAGCACAATACATTTTAATGAGAGGCTGCTAAATGATGGCCATCTCTTAAATGATAGGGTGATTGACTTTGATAGGAATTCAAGTGATAAATGGAGACAACAATCCAATTACCAATCTGATGGTTACTGATTGGAGGGTAGAGGGTGCTTCTTTCAGGAACGGGGAAGGATGAGCATGAGGAATGAAGACAAAGGTATAGTCTCCCCCAAAAAGAGAGACTGAGAAGCAAGTCTTTAGAGGAACTTATGCAAAGTCAGGAAGCCACTAAGAACAGGATTCAGATGCAACAGGTAGCTATTTTTCAACCCCAGCCTTCCTGTGCCACACGAGAGTTGAATCTTTTGGGATGAAAAGGTATGAAATTTGGGAACCAGAGAGATGTTGTAGACTCTTAGTCTCCATATGCGCTTTACTTATTTTTTTATTTTTAAAATCATTTTTCTTCTTGATCAGATTTTTTCCCCCCTCAATATTTTTGTTTATTCAAGCAAATTGAATTTCAGCTTTGGATCATCAACTCAAAATTTCATTGTAGATGCAAAACAGAAGATAGTATATTCTTCATTGTTTTCACACATAACAATAGGTCAAACAATTTTATTGTTTTAATCAAAAGAAATCTGATGAGAGTCTAATAACAAAAAATTACTAAAATTTCAGAGAATTCAGATCTAACTTAATTACAAAATTCTTTGAAAATTTTATTTGCTTTCAAATGTCTTCTGAATTGCTTCACTCTAAGAAATGTGTTTAACCAATTGAATGTATTATATACAGAATAGATAAAATACAGGATGATTTTTCACAGAATTTTGAAATGAAAATATGCTTTACATGAACTTCAAAAATCTGAATGATTTGCCTTATAGACATCAAAGCAATGCATATGCACAATTGTGCCCCATCCCCTTGTAAAACTGGTATATTCTGTATTCGATTTTTAAAAAATAACATAATAGCTTATTTTTGTATCATTTGTGCATTTTTCCCTCTCAGTTGTTGATCAGATTTTTTATAATAGTATAAGTTATCAGTCAGCAGACTCAGGAAGATACTCCATCCTTAACTATACCACCAGGATGAAGCCTAAGAACTGGTATCCCCTTCTGGACAGGGCTCCAGTTCCCATGTAGAACAGGGTTATCCAGCACCCCGCTCTCAGCAACAGCGGAACCTGGAAACCTGGAAACCGGTCACTGGTGCATGCATCCTGCCCCCAGCAGCTCAGCAGCTCTCCTCTGCACACACTGTTATTTCTCCCAGTTGGATCTGTGAAATGAAAGGCTTGATGTCTTGTTGAAGAAATTTCAGGCTACAAATAAAACGTTGGTGGAATGTTAGCCTGATGGTAGAAAATCCCTGACAATACAGCACAAGCTCATTTCTCTCATATGTTGAGTTTTTTCATTTATTTGCTTGTTGTTATATTTATAGTGGAGCACAAAATTTTTATTCAATAATGAAAGAAATAAAACCAAAAACTATCCTGACTTGTACAATATTGGTTATAGAAAAAAATTGTGCTGGTGTTTTTGTTTTTTTTTAAATTACATATCTGAATTCACCTCAAATAACAAAAGTCTGGCAAAATCTGATAATAGTAATATGTATGTATATATACTTATATACATCAGATGATCTATATGTACATGTACCTGCATACATCTGATAAACAGCAAATTCTTTACATTAGGAACAAAAATTTGAGTCTCTAAAGTACACTAGGCATTTTGTAGCGGTTGTTGTGACATGATCTGAAGGGAAGATGATACAATTATGTGTAAAATAGTTACCCAGACTGGGCTCTCCTTGGTGGCGCAACAGGTTAAGGCACCATACTATGAAGCACTCAGAAGCCACTGTAGCATGAATTTGATCCCTAGCCAGAGAGCTGACCCACATGGTGCAGCAGACCTCTCCTGACCCACCCTCTGCTCCCCTCAGCAGTGTACTTCGTCAATCTGCCTCTTCTGCTTTCCACTCTATCTCTGGTTAATCCTCTCACCCACCACACCTCTGGCATGTACCCCAGTTCTGTAAGCATAAATAAATAAATCTTTTTTAAAAAAGTTACCCAGACTGAAAATTGTCCCTTGAAGAACATATAGGACAATTTGTTTTATTTTCAAGGTCTGCAATTTGAGTTAGGCAAATTTAAGAGGCATAGCAGAAAAAATGGGCTCACCTCTTCCTTTCATTTGCCCATGATTTATTCATTGCTTTTCTGTGCACATGCTCAGCAAAAAAGGTCAGGGTACAGTCTTCTTTACATGTGTGAGGCTTTTTCCACCTTTGAACTTAAAAAAAAAACTTTATCATAGACAGCTCCAAAGACCAGTGTGCCTTTTATTTTTTTGCATTCTAAAAATGCACAAAATCTGGCTATTGGCAATGGTTTTCAGATTTTACAAAAGAAGATGGAACAAGTTTGAGAGGGATCTCGATACATGATTTTCAATGGGCAAGTCCCAGGCAGTAGAACTAGAGAAATACTGTATTGTGTTTTCAGGTGGAGGCAGTATATAATTCTCCATAGATAGCCTACTGAGTTGCTGTAAATCAGCAATTTAGAAATTAGACATTTGTGTGTAAGTGAGAGTTCTCTGCATTTTCTTTGCAGATTTTGCTTGGTCAGTCTTGACAAAGATTAATTTATAGCCACAAAATTTGCATTTTGCTTTTATCCCATCCCTTTGTCTATATAGCTCAAGGTATCCTAACTGGCTTCTCCATTCTCAGGCTCTTCTCAACCTTTGATCTCAGAGGCACACAAGAGTCAATAATTTCACAAATATTTTCCATAACAAATATTTTCCAACACTATGCTTTATTCAAAAATTGTTAGCTAACTCCATAAATAGGGAAACTACACATTTATTTCAAGTGTACTCTACATTGACACATTATTTCATGCTCAGTATTAACATGACAGTGAACCCATCCTTTTCTACCTTTTAAACTGATATTTATTTCTGCTGTGCCCAGTACTGTGAATATCACCTCCCTAGGACTTTCAAACTTGAAGTGACTTCTGTTCCCTTTTTTCAGCTTTCCTTAGAACCCTAAAGAGCTAAATATGTGACTCAAAACTTGACTGTCTTCCCTGAATATAGTATTCTTTGTTGATCCCATTTATCTAGAAATTCTCAATCTCCAAGTCTTCCTAATTAAGATTTATCATATTACCTCTTTCTCTTCATTGCCACCACACTAGTTTTCACTCATGACAGAGATTCATTGGCAATGTCCTTTACCTACTGTCTTTTGTCCATGGTATTGTGAGACTCCTACAGATGACCTTCCCAGCTAAAGAAGCTATCAGCACACCAGCTTTAGCCTTTTTTTTTTTTTAGATTTATTTATGCATACAGAACTCTGGTACAAGCCAGAGGTGTAGGGGTGGTGAAAGGCTTCACCAGAGACAGAACAGGCAGATCAATGAAGTACACTGCTGAGGGAAGTAGCGGTTGGGAGAGGTCTGCTGCGCCGTGTGGGTCACCTCTGGGTGTTCAAACTCATACTGAAGTGGTCTTAGCTTCCCAGTGCTGTGCTTTAACCTGCTGCGCCACCAGGGAGGGCCCAGCTTCAGCTTTTTACCTCTTAACATCAAGATAGTCTCCAGTTCAAGAGCCTGTTGCTCACTTTCATTTGCAATACTCTTCTAACTGGACTCCAGCGCCAGGGTGCTTCCAGTCCTAAATGCTTCCCATCTGGTATTTGCATGCATTCAAGAGCAATCGACAGCATAAACTCCTTGGCATGTCACTGCTCTGGTTTCTCACTCCCTACAATATACATCCCCGTTCTTCAATGTAACATTTTGGAACCACCATGATCCATTCCCATTTTCTTTCAATTCTCTCTAAACTTTCACCCCACTTCTTCCCTTCTTTGTACCCCACACTTCAGCAAGATAAACCACTTCATGGATATCCATATATTTTCATTCTGTTTCTCTTTTAGGCTGAGTATTCTACTAAGAATGCCAGTCCCAACCCTGTTGACCTAGCAAATGCAAGCTCACCTTTTTAAAAAAAAATTTATTGGTGATACAGGACTGGGGTACCGGCCAGAGGTGCAGGGGCGGCAAGAGGATACACCAGAGACAGAGTGGGGGGCAGAACAGGTAGATTGACGAAGCACACTGCTGAGGGGAGCAGTGGGCAGGTCAGGAGAGGTCTGCCGCTATGTCACCTCAGGGCAGGGATCAAACTCACACTGAAGCAGCTGCAGCTATCTTCACAGTGCTATGTTTTTACCTGTTGTGCTACCAGGGAACGCCAAGCTCACCTTTTCAGACACTGTTAAAGTTTTTAAAGTTCTTTGAGTTTTTTCTAACCCACCTCTCTATTTGGTGCCTCGCCCCTTATTGCACAACCTGATGCCCTAAAAATCCATCAATGTGGTAGAAACTCTGTACTTCCCTTCCTTAGTCTCCATGTGTCTTCTCTTCAGTCTCACCAGTTAGACTGGATAACTAGAGAAACGGTTCCTTATAGACCCTAGTGGTCATACCTCTGATATGAAAAAAACTGTTTCATTTTGCTTCTATTTCACAGACCTGGAATAGCAGGTGTGAAGGAGCAGTGACCAGCATTGCTGTATATGGGGGCCATCCTCATGGGGAGCTAGAAGTAGTTGTGGCAGTGACATCAGCTGTTCTGCAGCCTCATGGCGTGAGGCTGAATCTGGTGGTACAGTGATGGGTCCCTGATTTCAGTCTTTCTATCCCTTCCAGATATTTTCCTACATTATATTCCTTCATGCTGTATGTATCTGGAATGGTTTGCTTCCTGTTTAGAACCTGACATAGTCTACCTCTATTAAACTATAACTCACTTGAAGGTAGAAACAAGATACTTGGAACCTGGGACAGAGTTGGCTCTCACCAAGTAAGTGACTGATCCACTGGATAAGCCAATAAAGGCTTTAAGTTATATACTGCACTAACACAAGTTTCACCCTGTACTTCATTCCTTCTTTAATATTCTCCTTCCTTATCTGACCGACGTTGTCTCTCCCTGTGCTCAGTTTGAAGGGTATAGTTTTTATACTCTTTCCACACTTTTGTCTCTTCCTTTATCCTTTCTGTTCTAATGGATGCTTCTGTCTGTAATGCCTTTCTTCCACTCTGCAACCCACATTCACCACTTTGGACAAGAAAGAACATTTACAGTCCAAAACAAATCATCTTCTGTTGATGCTCAATATGGAAAGAAAGTAAACCTCTGATGCCCTCTGACATTATACTTTACCCCTCTATATTGGTTAGTGAAAGAAATCCCAATGATAATGTCTTCAATAGCAAGTTTTGTTTCATAACAAAATATCTGGAGGTGAGTGACTGCTGACTTTGGTTTAGTAATTTAAGAATACTTGGGACAGCTACATAATCTCTTGGGCCTTAATCTCTTGGATTCAAATGGCACTTCACAGCCTAGGTTTTCAAAAAAAGGGAGGTAGCACTAGTTCTGCATGCCCCTCTTTTCAGGAGAGCAGAAGGCATCCTAGAAATCACATTTCCTAGCAAGCACTCTTCAGTTTCTCTTATTTATGAGAGCTCAGTCAGATGGCTACTTCTTACTAGAGGGGAGTCAAGGAAATTGAGTTTTCAGTTGTGAGAATGAAAAGAAAGGAGTTGGGGAAAGGGCTAATGAGTTAGTCAACACAAAGGGACTGCTGTATTTTCTAGCTCATTTAATGCCATCTTTGGGCAAGCGTCATCTTTTTCACAGTCTTCAGTGTCTCCTACCACAGTGCTTTATACCTGGGCTGTATGGACTGCCAGTTTTATGGATAACTGAGAACTGATGTAGTGAAAATCATATCATTATCTGACATGGAGTTGATTGGAAGAGATGAAAGTATTCTAACCAGATTCGGTATTGCTTGAATGTAAAGAAAAGGAGCAAGATATGTGTGAGTTGTTTTTTAGAGAAATTTTATTATTATCAATGATGGTCATTGGTCTCTCTAAACATTCTCATGCTAGTAACACTTGATTTCTGTGTTCATTACAATATGTCAATGTCATCTTAGTAATTACACTGGTAGGAAATGGCAGACCTTTGCACATGGCTGATAGGTACAAATACCAGTGTTTCGAAGATTTTTGAAGTCATGAAATTGCAGTTTGAACAAGTTATTTTTTAAATTTTCATTTTAATTTGGAGGTTACATTTTAACTCTTCCATTTATACACATGTTCCACTTAACCCCAATGGTGTATAGTAGTTATTTAAATGAAAGGAAGGGAAAGTGTAGTTTGAAAAAATTGAGCAATCTTTTGTGACAAATACATGAATGTTACAAAGCTGGTGTGTTTACTTCTATCCCTGGCCAGGGAGCTGACCCACATGGTGTGGCAGACCTCTCCTCACCCACCCACTGCTCCCCTTAGCAGTCTACTTTATCAGTCTGTCTATTTTGCTTCCTGCTCTGTCTCTGGTGAATTCTCTCACTGCCCCTGCACCTCTGGCCTGTACCCCAGTTCTGTAAGCATAAATAAATAATTTTTTTAAAAAGGACCTACTGTAAGATATGAGTAGAAGATGTTTTTATTTTAAATATCCCCTCCTTACTGCTCCCCAGTGTTTTTATCATGAAAGAGTGTGTTAAAATGAATCCTGAGCTAGTGTTGAGGGAAGTGATTAAGATAAGAAATCCTCAAAGTATACCTTGAAGAGGAACATAGCTTCCTTCTCTTACAGAGGGTGGCCAGAGTTGAAATTCTGGGGATGAGAAAAGCTTTTGTTGAGTTGTCTGGTGGATGTCAGGCCTCTTGTCTAGCACCATTTCACAGATCCTCCCCCAAGCCTGCCTTCAGGCTAGCCAGTACTGTGTGGGGCTTTGTGGCTGCCCACTTACTGGAGCAGGGCTCTGCTCAGATTATTGGAAGGAGTGCTTCTGTGATAATCACCCCATTCCCTTTGGTAGAAATTAAATATTACAGCCTTTGCTAATTATAGGCTAGTGGCTCCAGTGCCCTCCCAATAGTAAATTGCTCTGTGGCAGCAGCTGGAAGTTGGGGTAGTAAAATAAATCCAGAAGAGGATCATCAAGCTTTTCTTACCCATAAAATGAAAATAAAATATTATATTTGTGAAGTTCTATCGAAGGAAATATTGGAAAGATAGCTAAATTTGCTTACTAAAGAGAATTCTGCTATCAAAACACCACTACATCAGCCACTGTTAAAACAAAAATGCAATCAGGGAAATGACTTGAAATGTTTATGTTTGCTTCCAGTTTTCAAATTAAAGTAGAGTATCATGTTCTTTCAGGTTGCCATTCAAAGCCTCTCTTCCTCTCCTGATTCCTATTAAATGTAGCTGCTGTTAAACTTTCTTCAGAAATAGAATGACTGTCCTAGAACTGACAATTTATTGTCTTCTCTGAAAGCCTTCTTGCCCATGTGATGTCCGGAAATCACAAGCATGCTTCATTCAAGTTCTTTTTTCAGCTTACACCCATTTCTGATTTTAAAACTACACTATCATGTATGTGAATTGGTGCTGAGTGCTACCTGGGGTCCTTGAACCAGACTGCTTAGAGATTCACTAGGTCAACTCATTTTTCATTCCAGCCAGGATACTTCCACCCATATCCTCGAGCATTCCTGTGGCCGCCTGCAGGTGTTGCTGATGCTCAGTGCTGTGTGCGGACACCACCTGGATGTACGTGCCCATCCTTATGTTTACCACCACCTCTCCCACCCCACCCCCACTCAGACCCGCCCAGTTCTGCTTTTGGAAAAACACAGAATGTCTGTTTCCCTCCAGTCCGGGTTGCTCGTCAAAAAGCTGTCAGCTGACAGGTGAAAAAGGTTCTTAAGGGATTCAGACCCCTACATCTCAGAGCAACATCCAAATTCTGTTAGGATTGCCTTTAGTTGGTTTTTTCTTCCTCTCTCTCTGACTCATCTCTTCTTTCTCTCCTTCGAGTAATTATGATGGTTTTTTCTTCCTCTCTCTCTGACTCATCTCTTCTTTCTCTCCTTTGAGTAAATATGATCAACCCAAGAGATACAGAAAGGTAACTGTTGGGTTTAAAACACAAGACACAAAACATAGCTCCTCTGATGGTGTGTAAAAACTGCACAGGTGACAGGAACGGTCCATTTACTTCCCCACACTCCTGGACCTTTCCTGACAGCCCCAGATTCTAAAGGGGTTTCTGTGTAGCTATGTGCGTGTGTACGGCCTTAGGTTCCATTTTCCAGATGAAAAACGATAAGAACAACTGTGGAGGGAGGTTACTTAAAGTCAGTTGGGAAAGAGGCGACTAGCTGCAGAGTTATTCTCAAGGGGTGGATCTGAGACCTGGGTGCGATAAACATCTGACCGCTCATGCCTACCGCGCTCGGGTGAGTTTAGAAGTCCCACCGGCAGGGGGCGCGAGTGCTCGCTAAACGGAGGCCACGGGGTATTGCGGGGGCGGGCGCACTGATGCCAGGCCACGCGGCGCGTCGGTTCCTAGGGGCACCTTGTGTGGCTTGAGGGCATGGGCGACAAATATGCTACCCTGCAGCGGGCGCGGCTGCATCTGGATTTCATCCATGCCAATTCGTGAGTGCCCCCGGGGAGTGGGAACAGGGTGGGAGTGGGAGGCTCTACCGAGCTATGGAAAAGAGCTTTGTACTTGTCCTAGAGAAATACCCACAAAAAAGTAAGGATAATGACTTGGTGGTACTGATTTATATAAATATTTGTTCATTTAAGTTGGATAAACATGTTAAGAAACAATGGGACAGGATAGAGATCTATATTTGGGTTCAGACTAACCTGTTTTGGTGCCCTCCAATTAACGCCAAGTCGTCGGGAAGACCCCATGTTGATTATTTGAAAAAAGCTATTTAACTGTAGGTCAGCAGAAGCCTAATCCTACCGAATTCGCCTTCCTCTAGTGATTTCTCTGCACAACACACTGACATTTTTAAGATTAAAGACGCCCTCCAGAAAGTACATGTAATTTGTATTTATTGATTGCAGACTCTGTGACCTCTTGAGTATTTCCAAAAAATGTAATCTCTCTGAGGATAGGAATCTCACATGTGGTTATTACTAGCGCACTCCTCTGTCAAGCCAGGATGCCTTTGGACTGTCTAGTCATTAGGTGTTACTTCAACTGCTCAGTGGTTTTGATTCCATCTGTCTTTAAAACACAGTAGAACATAGTATTGTGTAATTCATCTCAGTATGTTGGTTTTGGGGAAACCCCAGTCATTTGGATGAACTAAAAATATCGATTGATATAACACATGTACCAAATTTGAAACCACAGAAATAAAACTGGAAAGAAAGCCAGGGGAAGCTAATCTTACTATGTGGGACATTCAATGTAGTTTTTAGAGAAAACAGTAGAGTAGGCCATCTTAGCAGGTATTTAGTTTTTAATCTATCATAGAGAACAATTCTAAATTGGAATGGATGGGAAAACAGTTAAAAGTTAATTAAAGTTGAAGAAATAATTTTGAAGTGTTTTAGAAAAATGATAAACTGAGTATTGAAAGGACTGGATTCTGTCTTGATAAAGTTACTCATCAGTTTTCTGTGGTTTTGCTGCTTTTGTTCTTCAGTCTCCTCTCCAAAGCTACCTGCCCTCACCCAGTTGGTGTGATCTGGTAACTCAATAGCAAAAGTAACAGCACTTTGAAGTAACTGCAATATCAGACATAAATTAACATCTTTACCTCATCCCCTCAGATTTTTGTTTGAGATGTCTCTAACAACAGGGGTGACTAAAAAAAAAAAAAAATTCTCCTATTTGCTTGGCAGCACATTCACTCTATCAAGTCTTCTTAATGATATATTCAGTTCATCCACTTCATTCCATTGCCATTGACTTTAATCTAGATGATGGCCATAGCCCTTCCCTCCCAGGCCCTTATAGGGCCTCTCTGCTCACCACATGTCACACTCATCTCTGCATTATACTATAACCAGACATGCTGCTCGCCTTTCGTTCTTTTCTGCCTGAATGTTCTTACTGGAGAGTTTCACTGACTTTAAAAGGGACTGCGTTCTCACCCTTCAGGGTTTCATTTAAATGTCTTTCATGAAGATGGCTTCTTACTGACCATTGCACCTTCTCACCAGTTAATGTCCCGTCAGCCCTCCTTCGCAGCACCTAATCTGTCATCTTCATGTGTTTGCTTACTAGTGTGTTGTCTATATTCCCCACTAGCTTGAACTTCAAGAGGGTGAAGACCATGCTGTCCACTGGCTTTCCACAGTGGCGCATGGTGGATAGTAGTAAGAATCTCTTGAATGAAAAATTGCAGAAATGTATGTGGTCAGAATTGTTACAGTTATTTTCCTGAAGTATGGTTTACATATTGTTTATATGCTGAGTTTTTGTATATTGAATCATGCAAAATTCAAATCACTAGAAAGGTGCTTTTATAAAGCATGTTACCTACACTTCTCTCTTGCTCTATGTTAGAGTTTGTACACTGGTTTTGTTTTGGTAACAATTGTGTTTAGTGGTGCTTTTCAAATTACAAATTTGAAAGCTCATTTGAAGTCGAGAGATGAAGAGATCCCTCATATATTGTCTATTTCCAGTTTAAAATAAAAAAAATATGTTTTAAGAATAAATTTTTAGCTAATGTTGTCTTGTTATTTGTGGTATTTGACAGCTCAGAGACATTGTAAATGATCGATCCTCGTTTTATATAAAGGAGGTGGTTTTTGATAATGGAGTCTCTTTTGCTTCTACTTCCTGTTTACTAGATAGAATGAGAAAATTACATGCGGAATCTTCCCAAAATATTGTAATAAGTTGCTGATTAAATTATTCACGTCAGGAAATGAAAAGCAAGCATAGGACCCCCAAAACCTGATTTTGCCCACAGATGTACATTCAACCTCAAAGTGTTGTAAATAGTGATGTCTATCTAGTGTGTTCTGTTAAATGAGACTTGGCACTGGATGGGAACAGTGACTGCAGGGAATCGATGAGGTTATTTAAACAGAATTCCAGAGGTGAAAACATTCCATAGAACAATACAGATTAGTGGGGCAAATAGGAGGCTCCTCCTTGTGCTGGATTTTTATAGCTTGTTAAAGCTATTTTTCAGAAATAATCTGACCTTAAATAAGGAAATTTTAATGGAAAAACATGAATGGCTTTAAGGTAATTTAAAAACATGAAAATTTGCTTTAAGGACCTTGAAATTTTCCTTTCATTAGGAGTAGGCAGGATAGTTTGGCAATCACATTCTTAGTCCTGGTTTTGTCATGGAGTCAAGTCTGACAGTGTTGGGAAAATTGTTTCTAGAATAACTCCTTAATTGATTATCTGTCTAGACTGGAGAATTGACTGCAAGTGTCTTAGTGTTTTTGTACTGATTGCATGCAGAGTTTGTGTAACTTTTGTTCCCCCCCCCCGCCTTCCCCCTTCATCAGCACCACTCACAGTTTCCTTTTTGGAGCACTGGCTGAATTGCTGGACAATGCAAGGTAAGACTTTTCTGTAAAATAAGGTTATTGTGGGAACCTCACAATATTAAATTAACTCGAGTTACATTGAAAGGTAAAAGGATAATGTCACTTTTCCCCACCTGGAATGTTTGGTGGCTTGGTTTGCTCTAAAATCAAGGTATACTTGAACTTCTTTATATTAACAACCATGTAATAGCAAGTATTCATTTGGATGTTTACCTTTGTGTATCAGTGTATACTGTTCTTAAGAATTTAGATTTAGGCCTGAATTTATTGGAGTCTGCACTGAAGTGAATGATATAGTTCGAAGAATCTAGCTACCTGTTGTTGCCCGACACCCTTTCCTAAGTACGTCACATAGGATCAGAAACTCGCTCACTCTTCACAACACTAGATGAGAACAATCCCATTTCTACAGATGTGACAGTTCATGCACAGATTAATCCCATGACTTAGCCATCATCATACAATCAATATTTGGTGGAGCCTGAGTTCAAATTTGTGGTGTCTGGTGACAGTCCTCTCCTTCACCATTCTCCAATAAAATTATTTGTTTAAGGAAACTGCTTTAGCAATTTAAGTTTCACTCAGTAGAGTGTTTGTGGGGACTTGTGAGTTTTTTGGCTAATGGAATATGGCATTTGACTTGCTTTTTATTTTTTGTATTTCTGTCAACAAAAGGTTTTACCTACCTTTTCTGCAAAAAGTGAAGTCCACTCAGGAAGTAGTAGCATGCAGTTGTGAGGTCAGCAATCTCAGTAAGGAAACCTAAATTCCATGCTTATGGTTGATAACTATATTTTTGTTTTTTTGCATTTGTCTCCTATTTTTGACCTTAGAAGGAAATACAGGATGTAGTCCAGTTTTCAGCCTGACTACATACCCGGCTACATCCAGAACTTCATACACGGCGATCTCCAACACTACATAAAGTCATTATCTCCTCCCTATATAAAATTCTGTCCTGTAGAACTAATAAATTCACAGTTACCACAGAAACAGCAAGATGAAGAAAATAAGCTTGATTAGTCAGGAGAATGTTGTACTCAACTTTAGAAGAAATTAACAAGGGTAGAACCAAGTCAGTGGGTGTTCAGGGTTAGTCTTTCTCCAAGAGTTCTGGGCTGCTGTTGCATACTGCTGATCAAGCTCTGAAACAAGGCTTGAGATATATAATAAAAAAAACTTATTAGGCCTTCCTCCTTTGAATATCCAATTTTAGCAAGTTGGCATCTGTAACTCTGAAAGGACAATCTCAACCGTGACGAGGTAACTCTGAAGAATACATTTGCCTGCTCTCTCAGTTGTCCTTCCTCCTCTGAAAATCGTTTCACTTATTTAACAGAGGAGAGCAGGGCAAATGAGAAAGTAGAAGAAACAGAACAGTGGGATAGTCTTTGTAGCTGAGGGTGATTGACTTTGGAGTCAGGTGAGTGAAGTGTGATCAATAAAGCAATTATTCAAGCAACATTTGGGAGCTGTTAACCCCTGTCCAAGTTCAGCCTTTCCCATGTTTGCTAGGTTCATAGTGGAGTTTTGTACAGTGTTTACAAACAAAAGGAAGAAAAGAAGGAGTTGTTTGTAAAGTTTAAGAAACAGGAGGCACCAAAGAAATCTGGAACCCCTCTTTTAAAGAAAAAGCTCAAAAGTAGCAAACTTGAGTCACATTCCTCAGAGGGATCAGAGGGTAAATGTGAGGCAAGGTTTCCTTTGTGTCCTTCTGTGCCTTTAACTTTGGTCCTTTCCCAGAGCTCCCTGGTCAGCCAGAGCTCCTGACTTCCTCTCTTCAGTAGACACTTGAGTTTACCACCACTACTTCAGTGCTAGCATTTGACATTAGATGAAGCTGTTGAACAGACTTAACGGTCCTGGGGATGGACTTCATAAAGTCCCCATTTATTCTAAGAAATTATTTTCTATTGTTGTATGAATGATTTTGATAATCTCCTGAGGTTGTCAAAGTGAGAATATTGTAGAAACAGGAAAAATTTAGTAGTGTAGAAGATAGGGAATATGGTTGGGGTTTCTTCCTGATACAGCTGTTCAGAAAAAAAAAAAGTGCTAAAGTACACGGCTTAATAAAATGTCATAATATGCTTAAAGGTGAAGATTGATCTCTGCCTAATCTTGTGGAATGTCTGTATGAAGAAACTGTTTCTTTAAAAGCTTCCATTTCAGTATAATATCATTTATTGCAGTTATTTTGTATATGATACTTTATATAATATATAAGATAATCCATTCAGTGCTTACTTAACACAGAAAATGCTTGAATTTTTACACAGTACAAGCTTAAAAGCATCTAGAAGCAGCAACAAAGGGACAACTTTGAAACTAGACTTGTAGAACAATACAGTGTCCTACTCAGGTTGATTTGGGTAATTTTGGTTTGAGCTTGATAGACATTTTGGAAGAGGCTAATATTTTATCAGAGTTCTACTGGTTGTTTTTATTCTTTGTGTTGAGTCCTTTTCTCACATTCCCTCCTGTGCATCAGCTAAGATCCTCTTATCGTCCTTTTTCCCCTCACATTCTTGTCATTGAAGCCAGAATCTCTTTTCTATTTAAACCTATATTTAAGTAACTAATAAATTAAACATAAATATCTGTGAATTACAGAAAACTAAGAAAATGAAATTCATCAATGATGTAATCACATAGAGTAGAAATCAGAATAGTTCTCTGTAAAAGAACAGTTAGTAAATATTTTGATTTTTGTGGGCAGGTGCTTTCTTATTGAAATGTTCACTTCTGCCATTGCACTGTGAAGGCAGCCATGAGATGGCTGTATGAGTGGGCATGACTGTGTTCTGGTAAAACTTTATTTTTCAAAAAGTATTGACAGGCCACATTGGACTGTGTGCCATAGCCTGTAAACCCCTAACCCAGAGAAAATCACTATAATATTTTGGTCTTTTTCCTTACAGATATACACATGTATAATAGTTGTACTCTTTCAAATATGACCATGTAGAATATATTATAGTATTTTGGTTTTTCTTTTCATTTTTTTTCTTTATGAGCTGGATTAGCAAAATCTTCCAATGACTTCTGGGTTATTTTACAACCAATTTTTGAAAAAAAAAAATAAAGTCATAGACATTTTGTTGTAATGTTTTGCGCAACTAACAAATTCTGTCTCGTAAATTTATGAGTTTTAAATTTATGAGTTTCAAACTTTGTAACATTCTGTTACAAGTGATCATAGATCTTAGTATATAAATTCAATGGGGAACTTTTTTGTAATTGTTTTTAAAGCAATTTAAGTGGATTTCTCTTTTGTTTGCTACCTGACAGTAAGTTATACCTCATGTAAGTAACTCAGATTAATGTAATTTTCTAAGATATAATTTAATATTGAAGCAATGATATTTTTATATTTCCAGAGATTCAGGAGCTGCAAGACTTGATGTGTTTTCAGGTGAGCAGATTTGCTTTATTCTTTTTTTTTTTTATCTTTTAATGGAAAAGCCTGTAGTTATTTTGCTTTTATTTTCTTTCATGAAATCAAGCCACATTCCATTATTTTTAATGTAATCTAAGTGCTTTGTGAGCAAGTGACCCTGTGGGGAGCCAGGTTGTGAGTAGTACAGTCAGAGAGTGAAATGTTCACTTGTTGGAGGGCCCATTTACAAAATGAGATTTTTTAGAGATTTTGAAAGCATGAGTGATTTGCAGTAGTCAATTTGTTTGCCATGAGAAAAGAATTTTATTTTAAAAAGCAAATTAATGATTATTCATAATTAAGCATGCATCACTTCCAGCTTATCACAGCTAAAATGGGTAAGTGAATGTGCAGTATGAATGTTTGAGGGCTATAAAATTCAAACCAAATATGTTTCCTTCATTGATTTCATTTTCAGTCACTAAGTATTAATTGCACTTACTAGTTCATTTCATTAGAATGTGATGCAAATGAAATTAGTTTCTGTGATTTGGTCCTATAGTTAGCACTACTTAAAGAAATCCCTGATATTTTATATGATCTAAAAGCTCATCCATTTTCCTGATTTTATCAACTTTCCTATAAATATTGACTGTTGATCACAGGTAATAGGCTGTCCAATTATGTAAAGTCCTGTCTAACTTATTAAACAACTCAGTTCAATTTAAAGTCCTTTGTTTAGGCGGGTACTTTTGGTTCATATGGGAGAGAGAGACAGTTATCTGAGGAAACAACACAAATGCCCCATGTTTTGAAAAGTTTGAGGGATAAAACAAGTCCGTCTTGATTACTGATAAATGCTAGGTTGGAATATGGAGCTTACTTCCGATCAGACCTTCCCATCAGTCATTAACACGCCCACTAGTCAGGCTTCCCTTCAGAACTGGTCTGGTGGCGGACAGTGGAGCCAAACTCAAGCTTTGTACAGGCAGCTTGCCCCTAAGAGGGTCATGAAAGCTGTGAATTGAGCTACCCCAGTACCAACCAGGCTGGTGATTGAGCTTGCTGCTGCAGGGAAATATCTAGGGAGAGAGACAGGCTCTCTCTGGAGAAAGAGGATACTAACTGAACTTCCATCCACATAGAGGAAAAAAGCAGTGGAGAAAAAGCGGTCTTCCTTCCTATAGCCATTTTGTAGAGTAGAATAGAGTCAGTGTGCTGTGCCTAGGACTATAGTAGAAACAGAGAAAGAGGCCTCATGTCAAGCAACTAGGACCTGAAAGATGGATGCCATTTTTGTTAAGTAATAACTGGGAAAAATGTCACAGTCTAAGGAACTATTAGGAGAAAATTAACAGAATTAGACTAGTTCAGACATTCATTCATTCATTTAAAAACAACTTATTGTGTGTCTATTGTGAGTGAACCAAGCCATTCTTCTAGGTACTAGAGATAGAGCTTTGAGTAAAATTCACATCAAATATATTTGAGGAAGTCTGTGCTTTCATGGAGCATACATACATTCATGGAACGTGCATTCTAAGGGGGAGAGCTAGGCAATAAAAAAATTAACAAATAATGGTAAGTGCTAAGAAGGGGGAAAATGAAGGACAGTAATACAGAGTGATGGGAAGAATGAACTAGCTTTCCTGAGGGTGGTCAGTGAAAGTTTCCCTAAACTGGTGATAAACCAGAAATGCACTTAAATGACCTGAGGGAGAGAGCCAGGTAGATACTTGCAGAAGAAGCACTGACCTGTTCTCGGCATGGATACCATTCTAAGTTTTTTCCCCCCTATAGACAGGTCATTGATGAAATTTGAGTAGTTTCATTTAGAAATACATTCCCCCCCCCTTTTTTTTTAAAGGAAAATACTCTGGCATGGCATACAGGATCTGTAACAATGTAAAAAAAAATAATAATAGAGAGGAGGGAAGTACAGATATGGAAATGACCAAAATAAGGTTTTATGAGAATGTGAACAAGGCAGTCGTCTGAGGAATGGGGAGCAGGAGAGTGTGATTCAAGCTGCGTTTTGCTCAGGACACACATATTATTGATGACGGGTTGAAATATTGAGAATTACCTAGAATGACAGATTACAACAAATGTAGTCGGACTATTATGATCATTTGAGTTTGTGACATGATACCAGCAGGTCGCGACAGAGTTCATTCCACTGTGCTTTCCCTAGCACTTGGCATTGTCACCCAAAAAGTAAGCTTTGCAGTTTGAGTTGGAAGTAGTATATATATATATATATTTTTTTTTTTTTTTACTTAAGTCTTGTGTGTTTTGTGAACAACTAAAATTACCATTTTAAATAATCTTTTCATGTTTTAAAATTTTTTCTTATTACAACATATTGCAATGTGCCTATCAACTTAGCAAGTTGATTTTAAAAGTCAAAGCTTTAAAATCAGTAGATAGAAATATATCAAGATGCATAGTTTATGCATTGGTTTAGTTTTCTGGTTATTTTCTGAGGCCCATGAACTATCCTATTAACTTTTCTTCAAGTAACTTCAGGACTATTGAACTGAAATTAAATAGTTAATGATGGGTGTTTAATCTGTATTAGTTCTAATAAACATGGCTATGTATTCAGTATTTTTTTAGTACTTACCCAGAGGCAGGCATTAGACATTGTTGTATACACACAGTGCCTGCTTTAAAGGTATTAGTCAGCTGGTATTGGAATCCATGTAAAATATTGTGTGTATCTCCACATTTATATGTAGAAGACCCATAGCTTTTCATCATAGCTCTGAGGCAGCTGTGTTCTAGAGCACATAAGAACCCCTACTCTGAAAGAAGTAGGTACATGCACAGGTTTTTGAATATATTACCAATGGTGGGAAACATAAATTATAAGGAAAACATTCATTATAGGCAGACTGATTGGGAAGACTTCCTAGAATAATTCTTATATGAACTAATATAAATTCTTATGTGAATTTCCTGAAGGGAAAATAGAATTTAGCCTGATGAATCAAGGATAGAAAGGGCAAAGGGAGTACATGCCTGGCTTGAAACTGGAGAGAACCATAGACCATTGATGAAGTTATAGACATATTTGAGATGTTCAAGATCAGTTCAAGTATTATTTGAGTAGAAGTGGAAGGTTGTAGTATGGCTGGGATGGATGAGATGAAAGAAGATGAAGTTGGACAGTGTATTAGTCGCGGTTATTCAGAGAAACAAAACCATTTTTATCTATTCATCCATCTATCCACCCATCCATCTGTTTGTATCTCTTCATCCATCTATCCACCCATTCATTTGTCTGTCAATCAGTCATCTGAGATTAATATTTTTTTTTAAGGAATTGACTTACATGGTTGTGGAAACTGGCTAATCCCAGATCTGTAGGGCAGTTGGTAGGTTGGAAATCCATGTAAGAATTGATGTTTTAAGTCTTGAATTTTAAGTCTTGAGGCCAGTAACCTCAGAACTCAAGCAGGGTTTTTGTGTTCCAGTCCTGAGGCAGAAAATTACTTCTTCATTGGGAAACTTTACTTTTTATTCTTTAACTGATTAGATGAGGCCCGTCCATATTAGGAAGGGTGATCTGTGTTTTCTAAAAGGCAGCTGGTTGCAACGGTTAATTACATACACAGGTGCTTTCATGGTACTACTAGACTAGTATTGACTGGATAATATGGCACTATCACAGAGAGGTGGAAGGGCCAGATCATGAAAGGCAAGAAAGATTTGGAATGTATCCTGTGGCTAGTGTTTGTAACTGAAGAGTGCTGAAATGCACAACTGACTACAGAACACATTCTCACTGATTTTAGTGAGAGCAAGGACTTAGGGAGGTGTTGTCATGATCAAGAAGAGAGGAAAAATTTTCTGAATTAAGGCAATTGTGGCAGGAATGAGGGAAGTGGTCACATGCAGGGCCTGCTACAGAGGTGGGAATGAAGAGGTCTATAGACGGGATGAGGAAATGGAGAACTTGGCTTCTGAGGCCTCATGGCAGGGTGACACCATTTGTTGAACAGGAAATATTAGTGGGAAGAGTAAGTGATGAAATAAAAGACATCATGATTTTTTTGAACATGTACTGTTAACAGTCAATGGAATCTATCTGAAATTGATAGTGAATTGAAATGAATAAGACCAAACTTCAGAGTGGATAATAGAGGAATGGTAAATTTTGAACTATATGATTATCTACAGTCCCTTAATGGGACCACAGGAAAAAAAAATTAGTTTATACATGTCTCTTTGAGTTTTCCCAAGTTACTCATTGCAGTAATGCCCTCTCTGCAAGCTCCTTTTACGAGAAGTTTGTATGCAAAATCAATTGTTGCAGATATGCAGAACCGCCTGGAACTTGTATCAAGTGGTTTCCAATCCTAAGAGATACTAGGTTAATGGGAGAGTGTTTATTCCTGAACCCCATCCAAGACCAATTAATCAAGCGTATCACCAGATGAGTCTTATGAATAACTAGGGATAATAAATACAGCATTGTTCAAAGAACTTAGTAAGAGTTGGAGTCCCCTTCTTGAATAGTGGAGAAGCGTCAGCACTAGTCAGAGGGATGATTGAATAGAACAAATACCTAGAAGGTGGCATGAGTGTTCTGCTATGAATTTGAGGTAAGTGGAACAGAGGATCAGGTAGAGAGAAAGAATTGGATAGAGGGGAGGGGAGAGAAAATCCAAAGGGTTTATGGAGAGGAAGTAAATTAGAAAGAGGAGGAAAGATTAGAAATGGCCACTTGACATTACAGCAATGAGCCCAGAAATCTTTGGCATGTTTTCAGATATTTATTTATGGGTTAAATTGAAAATTACTTATTTTTTTAAAAGGTGAAATAGAGGTTGACTTAACAAATACACTGTAAAAAATTTACAGGTGCAGAATTACATTAGTGATTGCTTGGGGTGAGGCAGGGATGACAGGGCATGGAAGGGGCAGATTAAAGGCACTGCAGGAAGCACCTGGGAGAGTGGATATGTTCACTACCTTGATGATGATGGTTTCATAAGTCAAAGTTATCACACTCTGCACTTGAAACATGTACAGTCTTCATGCATGTCTCTTGATGCTGTGTGAGAAACTAGAACTCATATATCCAAATATTCAAATTAATTTCAGAGCCACATATCAAACTGTGCATTAAAATTAGTCTCATTAGTTTTAGTTAAACTTTGCAAATATTTTTAAACAAGAGATTACATTGTAATAACATACTTTAATCATTAAAATTGATTCCAAACAGCTTAACCGTTTTCTAAAGTTAAATGCATCCTCCAGAGGCAGATACTTGTTGCCACTCAGAAGCACACACAAATGGCTCTACGAGGACTAAACACTTAGAAAGGCGTCTGATTAATTTAATAAGAATCACCTGTATTGACTTAAGAACTTATGTTTTGGTGGAAAGATATAAAAGTTGATCAGTTTGATAGATCATGGGATGACTTACCCATCTACCCTTAGTGCCTAGGGGAGAGAGAAAATATTTGAAGTTGAATGGACCAGTCCAGTTCCAGAGTGGGGCCCATCATGCATTCTGGATAATTTGTTAATGTCTAGATGTTTTATGTTAATGTAAAGCCTTTTACTTCATGATTATTTCCCCCTGCAGTTTCTTGTGAAACTGTTGCCAAGACTCCTTTCTGAGATACCTCTTTTTGCCATAACTCTGTCACTGTGGCTGCATTTAAGGAGGACAAATAATTATATGAGCAGCATGACTTTCTGAAGAACAAATTAAGCCCAATATTTATTAGTAATAACTGCTTTCTCTTACAGTGGATAATGAAAAACTGCAGGGTGGATTCATGTTGTGTTTCCTGGATGATGGATGTGGAATGAGCCCTGGTAAGTTAATTACCAAGATACCTAAGTGGCTGTTAAAGGAAACAGTCTGAAAACCCATAAAAGAAATAAAAATGAATTGAGCCATGTATGTAAAAACAGGTATGGAGCTATTAGGGAACATAAACCCTAGACTCAACATACTGGTGAACTTTCTAGATTTAAATATTCAGTTGTCATAGTAAATTCGTTGAAGACATGTAACCTGATACAAAGAGTGAATTTAATTATTACCAGAAAACTGAAAGGCAGAAGGGATCCATTACTGTAAGGTTAAGCATCTGGGAATGAATGGAAAACAAATTGCTTCTGGCTGAGCTCTAGGGTTTTTTAGACCTCTTTTTCGGTCTTACTTGCAAGAGCCCCAAGGCAGTTTCCAATGCCTTTAGGCATTTTTAATTTGTTGTTTAATCTTGAGGTAGAGGTCTCCTCAACTTATTTTTAGGTGGGTATGTTTTTTCCCCTGCCTGTTCAAAGGTTCCCTTGCTTCAATTGAAAGTTCCCATCATGATAAGTACATCTACTTGAATGACTACATTGGATGGCTTATCTTTGATTCTTTGAAGCTAACAAACAGCCAGCATATAGGGCCCTCTTGGTGGCACAAGGGTTAAAGTCTCAGCACAATGAAGTTGTTGTCAGCCACTGCAACATGAGTTCCATCCCTGGTCAAGGAGGTAACTCACATGTTGCAGACCTCTCCTGTGTCGCTCGCTGCTCCCCTCAGCAGTGTATTTCAGGGGCTCCACCTGTTCTGCTCCCCACTCTGTCCCTGGTGAATCCTTTCACCACCACCACCTTCTTCCCACCTCCCCCTGACCCCCCCATCTCTGGCCTACACCCTAGTTCTTATATGCACAAGTAAATAAATCTTTTTTTAAATTAGATTTATTTATTTATTTATTCATATGGAACTGGGGTACAGGCCAGAGATGTGGAGGGTGAGAGGATTCACCAGAGACAGAGAGGGGAGCAGAACAGGCAGATTGGCAAAGTACATTGCTGAGGGGAGCAGCGGGCAGGTCTGGAGAGGTCTGCCACGCCATGTGGATCACCTCCCGGGCAGCCACTTCATGCGGAAGTGGCTTTAGCTTCTTAGTGCTGTGCTTTAACCCACTGTACCACCAGGGAAGGCCAGTAAATAAATCTTAAAAAAATAAAAAATCCAGCACATAGTTGGTGGGTGCTCAGAAATTGAAATGTCTTTTCCTCTGATAAGGGCCTTGAATTATTTTGGATAGCACATCCCTGAATTTTTGTTAGACTTTCTGTGTCCTATACGCTAGTTTTTGACCACTAGATTAAAAAACTGCTAAGGGAGTTCAAATAATATGGAAGTGTTCTTGTCAATTCGACACCAAAGGAAAGAATGGTCATTGGACTGATTGAAAAATTAAGCAGTTGTTTTCTTCTAAGTCTGAAAGTTCCACCTTGGTCTGAATACTGAAAGAATAATTAATAGCAAGTTTTTAAAATGCTCAAGTATTCCACAAAGTTCTTATTCTGATTTTGGATAATTTTAATTTTTCCAGGTCATTTCTATAAAAAGGGTTGTTGGTTTCTCTGTGTTTATTAAATATGGCAAGAACAGGGTTTGTGAGAAACACATAATAAAGTCCTAAGTTTTATGTTCTACTTCTGGAATGAAGGTTAAATTCATTCTCCTGTAGTCTTAAATAACTTTATGTAATAATTTTAAGACAATTCCTTTATTAAAAAAGTAATTCCTCTAATATAGAATCATGAACAGAATAATAAAAATTTAGACAAGTGACAGATATTCAAATCACACTTCAGTTGACATGTATAATACTATTTAAGAGAGCTCACTGGTGCGAGCAATTCTTTATTAACATTGACTGGAAATTAAATAAGTTAGAAAGAAGGGTTTACCTACCTGATAACTAAAAAAAAATCAGTCATTGAAACTGAGCTAGCTTATTCTGCACCCATAGCAGATAACTTGCAGTAATTTCCAAAATCTTCTCACTTACATTCTTATCCCACGATAGTACATTTCCTACATGGCAATCCAGAGTGAATTCTTTTTTCTTTTAATAGAAGTCATATCATCTCATCCCTCTGCTTAAAATCCTTTGTGGTTGTATATTAAAATTCATTATCACTTATTTTGAGCATTATTTGGCCTCTGCCCATTTTTTCTTCTACCACTTACTTCTTTATTAAGAGTATTCTAGCCACACCTGGCTGACCCATTATCATTTGAATTTCATTTCAGATGTCACCTTTCAGTCTTTCTAGCTCATGAGAACTTCCTAGATCATTCTCTCTGCAGGTCACTCTCCTTTTAATTCTCTATCACAACCTCTGGTTTTTCTTTCACGGAACACTTTCAGAAATGATCTTATTTGTTTGCTGCTTTCACTGTTTATCCTACCATAACATACACTTGTTGAGGGCAGGAGGCATGTCTGTCCTGTTCCATGTTCTGTCCTGTGACCAGAACTCTTCCACCTACATAGGACACTGTGCCATGCGTGATGTAACCCACAGCATTTGGTCCTTGATAACTGGGTTGTAATCCTGGCAGTAGCATTTATTAACTTGTGTAGTTTACATAAACTCCTTAAGCTAAAATTTCCTCATCTGTAACATGCTGGTAGTACTAGTATTGTGATTTATAACTGTAGATTATACAATCATATAAGATTATAATAGTGATACCTTCCTGTAGGTTGCCTACAGATATTAAATAGGCAGTGAATGTGAAGTATGTAATATAGCAATTAGCACATATGAAAAAATCAACAAACGGGGACTAAAATTTCTAATCCCAATTCCACCATGTGATAGGCCTCCCGTACCCCCAGGGCAAACAATTCTTAGATATCACCTGGATTATCCTACAATTCAATACAATTTTGACACTATCCACACAGATCCACAGGTTAAGGGCTTGGTCCTACAGCATGGTTCCCTCCTCCATGCCTATACAAAGTGCAGGCTGTTACCTGTATTTCTGACTTACTGGCTATAAGTCAGCAGTTCCCATGCTCCCCTCCCTGGGTTAGACTAATATGCAAGAGTGGCTCACTGCATTCAAGAAACCTGTTTACTAAGAGATTACCAATTTATTACATAGAATAAAACAATATGAATCAATAGGTAGATGAAGAGATTCATAGGGTGTGGTCCTGAAAAAGAAATTTTTGTCTTTGTGGACTTTGGGTTCCTGGTATGGTGGAACATAGAAGCTGTCTTTTTCCTAACTTAGAAGCTCTCTGAACAGCTCCCCCCCAACTATATATATATATAATAACTGGGTTTATTTTTATAAATGTTTATTTTTACATAATTTTGTGCCTTTTTCCATCTCAGTTGTAATCCCCATGGGCTTCTCATCACCAAATCACCCATGTGCCATCACCATAGAAGTCCAGTGCACTCTCCACCCCCCATTTTTGATCCCATTCCTTACTCCACCTCCATAAAATGTCTCTGGTATATTGTTGTTCATTATTATTATTATTTTCTCCCATGGTACTTTATAGTCCTGCTAAGAGTGAAACCATCCAGTATTTTTCCTTTTCTTTCTGGCTTATTTCATTAAGTATGATCACTTCTAGCTCCATCCATGTTGCTGCAAAAGGCATGTATTTTTTCTTTTTTGATGCCAAGTAATATTCCATTGTGTATATGTGCCACATCTTTAAATCCAGTCATCTACTCTTGTTGCCCCACCCTTTTTTTTTATTAAAAAGTTTATTTTTACATCATTTTGCACATTTTTTTCATCTCAATTGTAATCCCCACGGGTTTCCCATCACCAAATCACCCCTGTGCCACCACCATAGTCCC